TACTTTATAAAATTCATAAAATAATATATATTATACAAAGTGAACTAGTATATCCTATAATTTAAAAATTCATAAATTAAAATTTCTCTTTTATATTTTGTGAAGTGAATTAAATGATCATATCATTATTAAATTAATAAAATAATAAATAATTTTATATCAATATTAATAAAAGTTTATTAAATTATACTATACTTTATCAACTTGATATTAATTTTAATATCTTTTTAAATTTATATAAAGTTAAACACTATCACAGACTTATAAAAATGAAAGTTAAAATAATATTTTTTTTAATTTATATCAATAAAATTGAAATAATTACTAAAATTATTATTTTAAAATCCAAATTTCAATTTTTATGATGAAATTATAAAATTTAATGGATATTCAAATCTCCTCATTCGTAAATTACACTTCTTTAAGCATTTTTGTATGCTTTTATAAGCTAATTCATAATGTGATTATAAATGTTTATGTTTTTTTTTTATTTTACAAAAACAAGTATGGATTTCCTAATTTAATTTTATACTGGTTCTAAAATCTATTTTTGATAAATCTATTTTAAATTCTCTCCAAATATATTATATAGGATTTAACTATGGCAAATAAGAAGGTAAATATAAGTGATTCGCATATTGTAAAACATCTTTTGTTAGATTAGATTTTTTGTGCACTGATGTATTGTGAAAAGCTATGACATAATTTCTAAAACCGTATTTCAGATTGCAAATCTGAATTATTTTTAGAATAATGACTTTAATACTTCTGCATTAACATTACGCCTTAAACATTAATTCACTAAAAGATCTCTACTCATTGTTCCTATTATTTTTATCCTTTTCTAAATAACTGCTCTATCCATATAATAAATGTTAATTTTTAAACAACATACTTTTCGACTCATAAAATCGTTACCAATTCCACTTTCATCTATATAAATTATTTCTATTCCTTCTTTTATATGAAACAAAATAATCAATCCATAAAGATACTGCAGGCCACCTTATAGCTAAATCCCAAAGATTTTTTTTTTTTAATAACTTTTTTGATAGATTATTTTTGCTTCGATGAAAATGGTCTAAAAATCATCATAAATATGTTACATTGAGCACAATTTATCCTAAGCCTAAGAATTCATATACTACTTGATGGGTTTGGGTTTGGGTTTGGGTTTGGGTTTGGGGTTGGGGTTGGGGTTGGG